TACTCTTGCATGAGCGGCATGGATCCTTGATTTTCGCAAACCTAATCTAGAATCTTAGCGTATGATTCCTAAGACCGTGACCGAACTACCTAGGGAGGACAAAGGCAATTTTGCGGGGAGGTATTTTTCTCTTTCTAGGATAGTCCTTTTTTGGTTTGGGATACATTTGCCTACTTGTTACCCCTTTGAACCCTTTTTCCCTCTTTTCAAGCCGCATAATTAGATATCTTGAGCCTTTTGTTTCGTTCTCCTTCTTTTTGGTTTTTGTGAAGCAAAAGTCAATATTTGGTGATTGTGGTCTATGAAGTTGGGGTTTGGTTCGAAGTGGTACGCATAATTGAGTTGTTTATATTTGGTAAATAATGGCAAATGCTTATGTAAAAGCCGTCCTTAGTAAAAAAAGGCAAGGACTAATTCTTTGAAGGAGTTCAAGGAATTTCAAACAAATTTATAAATGAGAACATGCAAAAAAAAAAAAAAAATGAAGTGTCTTTCTCCTCTCTATGCATTGAGGACAGTGTTTCTTTTAGCTTGCGGGGAAAGCGCTTGCGCTTTTTGTTCTAATGATTGTAGATTTTTGCTTTGAATAAGCTTGGGGGTGTTAATACGTTTTTGTTTGGTGATTACTTAAGTTTGGTGTTGAGATTTGGCCGGTCTTTGCTTCACAATTTAGGATAACCACCAAATTTTAAATTTTAGCCTACCTTAACCCTTCTTGCCTTGCGTTACAACCTTGGGGAAGACCTTTGCACCTAGGAGTTGAATCTTTCATCGGTGGAGGGAATCATAGGTTGTAGACTAAGGAAAGGGGATGCGAAATCAAGATGTCGAGTAGCCCAAAAATTTGATCTTTTTCCGGTTCCTTCGCGGAATCTATGAGATGCTCACTAAGGGGAGACATGAGATTAGTAGGGGGAACGCGGTAAGACCGATTGGGATGAAAGTGGAATGTGATAACTAGTTCCTATGCTTAGCATGTTTATGTTTCAATCAACCTTAGGTATCTTATAACGTGCATACCATAATTCTCTTTAGAAAGGTTGTTATTCATTTGAATTATAGTCTCTTTGTAAAGTCCATTTCGTAAAGATTTTGATTCCTTTTTCCTCTTTCTTTTCCTTCTCTGGTTTGCCTCTTGGGGGTTTGGTGGAGAGTTATGGGTAAACTTTTAGGATACCCTTACGAGAGCATCACTCGTCCTCTAGAGCGATCTAGGGGTTTAAATGGCTTGTTGTAGCTAAAAACAACTGTGATACCTACGACAGTGAGTCTTAGTGTAAATTCTCGCCCCTCTTTTTCTTTTTTCTTCGAATAAACCCTTCTTATTCCCTTTTAGCCTTTGTTTTTCTCAGGACGAGCAAAAGTCTAGCTTGGGGGAATTTGATGAGTGTCATTTATGGCACTCATAGGGTGGTCTTTTAGTGTTATTTCTTTCCCTTTTCATGCTTTCTTCTCTTATTTTTGGTCCTTTTTCCTTAGGTTTCTCTTTCTCCTCTTTTCTGTATGGCTCTCGTGTTTTCCTTTTATTTGGCTCTTTTTCCTTTTATTTCCTTTCTTTGTTTGCTTGTGTAGGTATTTGGAGTATCACCTTTGCAAAGGAATCAAGTTGGGGCCTTAATGATCAAGTAAGGAAGAAGCATTTGGCTAGAGAGGGCTTAGAGAGGTCTCCAAAGTATTCCTAGCAAGCCGCGGGCGCGGGTCAGGAGCCGCGGGCGCGGGCTTAAGAGGAGCAAATTGCAAGATTTTGGCAGGAGCTCCCCGCGGTTGCCCTGTGGGCTCTCCGCGGGCGCGGGAAATCTGGAGAGGGTGCTCCTTCTCAGAGAGACCACGACCCCTTGATTGAGTTTTGGGAGCAAGGGATTGGCCGCGGGCGCGACACCTTTGGCCGCGGGCGGGGGTGCTGCCCAGAAAGCCCGCGGAGGGTTCTGTACCCATTTCTCCGCGGCAGCGGATTCATCGAGAGAGACCGCGGGATTTGCCGGTTTCTTCTTTACCTATAAAATAGAATTGTAATTCCTTTTAAAAGGAAAACTTTTTGATAATTTTCATTAGCTTAGTTTTAGAGAGAGAATCTAGAGAGAAGTTAGAGAGAAGTTCTTGGTTTTGGATTTGTAACTCAACATTTGATCAATCACGTTTGGATTTCTTCATTTTTAATCATCAATATTAGTGAGAATCTCTTCCTTCTTTCATCTTTTACTTACTTGCTATTTGATTTTTGCTTGTTGCTTGTTCTTCTTTGGATTTGAATTTGATATTGTTGATTATTTTGATTTCTCTTAGATTTTGATATAGAAATGTAGATTAAAGCAATTTCTAGTTATCTGTTCTTGAATTTCACCATGATTAGTGAGTAGATTAGTTGCTAGGGAAAGGGGGAAGCATGTTTGATTAATGAAATTGCTAGTTGATGCTCTTTGATTGATTGATTTCTTGCAATTAAATTGGTTGACATAGTTTTGCATGAGATTGATTATACTAGGAGTGATCAACCTATAAGATTAATCTAGATTGCATTGCAACTCTTAATGACATGAACAATTGAATTGAAAGTTGCTCTAATTGATTGGGTTTGCTTGTGATCCTTCTTGATTTCCCTTTCATAGTGACACCTAGATTGGCCTATAGGAGATAGCATTTGAACTCTCTTGATTGCTACTATTGTTTGTCCATTGCAATACTTGAATTAATTGATTGAGCTCTAAACTAGCATTATCATTGAACTTGCATGTGGAACCCATATCCCTAGTGTTTAGACCTCTGTTTTACTTGATTAGACTTGCTTTAGTTTACCATAGTGCCAACCATAATCTCAACTCCATCTTCGAGGTAGCTTGACTTAGACTCTAGTTTTCATCATTGCATTCCCTAGGGATCGACCCTTAACTTGCCCTATATTCATATAAGGTTGGTTAGGTGTTTACAAATTTTGTTTGACCGAGGGAAGATTAGATAACGACCTAGTTTTCCCCTTGTCATAGGGGATGCGGTGAGTGGAAGTCATCTCGCAAGGATGATCTAGCCCGATCGCATGCCAATGGAAAATCTCGTTTAGATCACTCTCGGTGAGGGAGTGATCCTCATTGAACATGTGAAAATGTATCACAAGTTGAGGTTCCTCATCGTTAAACTCCGACTCTATGACTTCCTTGCGGAGAGAGGCAAGGAATTCCAAAGTCACTCGCTCATAGGTGTGAGCGTGAAGGTAGATGAATTCACCCTATCCAAAATTTTGTGCTAACCGGACTACCTCATCCAAGATACCGAGCTTTTGCAACGTTGTAGGACAAAAGAACCTTGTTGAACGGATGGGACGATTGATGAGGGCTTTGTAGACGTCCCAAAACTGCTCATTCGGAGCAATTATGCTATGATCATTTATGCCGGGAGGAGGCGGGAAACTCGTTGAAGAAGATTCACCCACTCTCTTCCTCTTTGACTTGCACTTGCCAAATACCATGATTCTACAAAATTACCAAGAGCTATTATTAGGACAATTTGATAAGAGATGACATAAGAAGCTAGCCACGGTAAAAGTGTATGCGTGAAAGTAGTTGCCTTGAGTTGTGAAATAGATGTAGAGGATGACAACAATACAATTCAAGGCATAAATGGACACATTTAAACCAAGGCATGGGCGAGAAATCCTATGACATTCATATATAAGTCCTATCAAAGTCTAGGTGAATTTTGGCATGATGTCTCCTAATTACGTGATAATCATTCACCAAACCATCAAGAAAATGCCAAAAACAACAAGAATCAATCTCCAACAACATCCAATTCATGAATTTCTCAATCATCAAATAGTAGCATGAACACCCTATCATGAAATCAACATTTTTAAGCAAAGACATTGAGATCAAATAAAACCAAGGTATACAAGCATAATCATGATAAGAACATGTTCTACTATCAATTACCAATCAATTGCAACAAGTAAATCCAAAGAACCACAAGAATCAAACAAGTTATTACTAAAAATTTCAAGAATACCACAATTCATATTTAAACATGCAAAACATGGTAAAACTATGAGAAATTGAAGAAATGAACTTGCAAAAGTTAGGAAAACCATACCACAATTGATTGTAAGTAAGTAGAAACCTAAAAACACCAAAACACTTAAACCCTAGAAATTGGGGAAAATGAAAAGATGGGATTTTTGTGAGGAATTTTTGGTGGAGATTGTAGAAATGGAGTAGAGGATGGAAAATAAGTGAGAAAAAAGAGAAAATTGGAGTGATTTTGATGGAGGTTTGAGGTTGTAGGAGGGGATTGCAATGGAGTTTAGAGCGAGAAAGAGGAAAATAGAGAGAGGGAGTGTCGAATGAAATGAGGGTCGAATGAAGAGCAACCCCGTTTTTTTTATAGTTCGACAAAGGTTCGGCCGAACCTTGGGTAAGTTCGGTCAAACTCTTGAAATGGTTCGGCCGAACTTGCTCAAGGTTCGGCCAAACCTGCTCCCTAACTCCAAATTCACAAAATGGGCAGAAACTTTCCAACTTTTGATTGCAGAATAGGTGCGACCGAACTCAGTTCTTTGTGGGCGAACCAAGGTTCGGTCGAACCCCCCAAAGGTTCGGTCGAACCTACTTTAAATTCTTAATTCTGCAATTCTGGCAGAAAGTTTTCAAATTTATGTTCTAGAGGAGGTGCGACCGAACTCAAGAAGGTTCGGGCAAACCTTTCAAAAGGTTCGACCAAACCTTCAGGGAGTTCGGTAGAACCATCTGGCTTTTTCAAAAAATGCTCATTTTGCAACACAATATGCACAAAAACCCCTCTTCAAAACACACTAAACACCATACCATCACGCTAAGGTAAAGCATACCAAAAATTCCAACACAATCAAAATTCAAAAATCCAATAATCCAACATTATAGATAGGAAAATAACAAAGCATCAAGAAAGGAAGAAAGAGAAAAGGGTAAGAGACTCGGGTTGCCTCCCGGAAGCGCTTTTGGTTTACGTCGTTAGCTCGATGTTCCTTGAATTGATCAAGGAGGGTCAAATTGATGATGCATATCAAGAAGAGTCACAGAAATTGGTTCATCACTTGGGAATCCTTCGTAGTAGGGCTTGAGCCGGTGACCGCTCACTTTGAATGGAGTATGCCCGTCTTGGGAAATCTCATAATCTCCATATGGAAACACCTCCGTGATAATGTACGGCCCACTCCACCTTGACCTAAGCTTTCCCGGGAAAAGCTTCAAGCGGGAGTTGAATAGGAGGACTTTTTGGCCTTTGACAAATTCCTGCTTGACAATTTGAGCATTGTGCCAAGCCTTAGTCCGCACCTTATACATGCTTGCGCTATCGTAGGCATTCATCTTCAACTCCTCTAACTCATGTAGCTCTAGAAGCCTTTGCTCACCCGCACTATGGAGATCAAAGTTGATTTGCTTGATTGCCCAATGCGTTCGATGCTCCATCTCTACGGGCAAGTGACAATTTTTCCCATAGATAAGCTTATAGGGAGTGGTCCCTATTGGAGTTTTGAAGCCGGTCCTATACGCCCATAGAGAGTCGATGAGTTTAGAAGACCAATCCTTTCTTGTTCTAGCAACCGTCATCTCCAAGATCACCTTGAGCTCTCTATTGGTGATCTCCGCTCTCGTTTGAGGGTGGTAAGTAAGCCCCCGCTTATGAGACACTCCATATTTATCAAGAAGTCGAACGAAGGTGTGGTGCTTGAAATGTGACCCCCCATCACTAATTATGGCTCTTGGAACACCAAATCACGGGAAAATCACTTTCTTGAAAAGATTAACCACTACCTTAGAATCATTCGTAGGGGAACCCACGGCCTCCGCACACTTTGAGACATAGTCAACGGCAACCAAAATATATTTGTTCCCATGTGAAGAAATAAAAGGGCCCATGAAATCTATAGCCCACACATCAAAAACTTCAAGCTCAAGGATGGGGTTTTGCGGCATTTCATCCCTCCTAGAAATATTCCCCATCCTTTGACATCTATCACAAGTCTTAACAAAAATCCAAGCATCCTTGAATAGAGAAAGCCAAAAGATCATAGATTGTAGAACCTTTGAGGCGATCTTTTGAGCACTCATATGCCCACCACAAGGAGAAGAGTGGCACATATGGAGAACACTTTGAACCTCATCGTTGGGGACACATTTCCTCAACAAACCATCGACCCCTCTCTTCAATAAAATGGGATCATCCCAAATGTATCTCTTGACCTCATGCTTGAGTTTTCGGCGTTGTTGTGAAGTGAAATCCGGAGGTACGACACTACAAGCCAAGTAATTCACAATATCTGCATACCGCGGCTCTGACTTCACTTCAAGGACATATAGCACATCATCCCTTAGAGCATCCTCTATAGGAAAACCATCATCTTCAAACCTTGCACCGCCCAACCTTGAAAGGTGATCCGCCACCACATTCTCGGCTCCCTTCTTGTCTCTCATCTCATAATCGAAATCTTGGAGGACTAAAACCCATCTCAACAACCTCGGTTTAGCTTCCTTCTTTCCTATCAATTATTTGAGAGCTGAGTGGTCGGTATACACAATTGTCCTAGAACCAATGAGGTAGGTTCTAAACTTCTCAAATGAGTGAATAACCGCTAGGAACTCCTTCTCGGTAGTTGTGTAGTTTTGTTGGGCATCATTGAGAGTTTTAGACAAATAATGTATGACATGAAGTTTCCCATCCTTTCGTTGCCCAAGAATCGATCCAATGTCCTCGTCGCTTGCATCGCACATGAGTTCAAATAGAAGAGACCAATCCGGACCTTGGACAATAGGAGCGGTGTAAAGGGCTTCTTTGAACCTACAAAAAGACTCTTGACAAGAATCATGAAACACAAACTCCTTATCTTGTTGCAATAGGGATGTGAGAGGCTTAGCAATCATTGAAAAATCTTTTATAAAGCGCCGATAGAACCCGGCATGGCCAAGAAAGAATCTCACTTCCCTCACGTTGGTGGGGGGAGGAAGTTTTTCAATGACCTCTACCTTGGCTTTATCTACCTCAATGCCGGCATGGGAAATTTTGTGCCCAAGAACAATCCCACTTTCCACCATAAAGTGGCACTTTTCCCAATTCAACACGAGGTTAGCCCTCTCACATCTTTCTAAGCAACGAGATAAATTAGATAGACAATCTTCATAAGTGGCTCCTCCAACGGAGATGCCATCCATGAAGACCTATATCTCATCCTCAATCATATCACTAAAAATGGACATCATGCAATGTTTGAATGTTGAGGGGGCATTACAAATCCCGAAAGGCATCCTACGATACGCATAAGTACCGTAGTGGCAAGTGAAAGTCGTCTTCTCTTGATCCTTGGGGTCAATTGGGATTTGGAAAAATCTCGAATAACCATCGAGGAAACAATAGAAGGAATTCTTTGTAAGCCTTTCCAACATTTGATCAATGAACGGTAGTGGAAAATGATCTTTGCATGTACTTGTGTTAAGTTGGCGATAGTCAATACACATGCGTCAACCGGTAACAAGCCTAGTAGGCACTAGTTGATCATGATCATTTTTCACTACCGTCATTCCCCCTTTCTTAGGCACAACTTGCACGGGAGATACGCATTCACTATGAGCAATTGGGTAAAAAATTCCCGTATCAAGAAGCTTAGCCACTTCCTTCCGCACAATCTCTTGCATGGAAGGGTTAAGCTTTCTTTGCCTTTGTCTAACGGGTTTGGCATCTCCCTCTAGATCAATTTTGTGCATGCATAAAGTTGGACTTATACCTTTGATATCATAAATGGTATAACCCAAAGCTTTCTTGTGTTTTCTCAAAACATTGATCAAGAGGGAGGTTTGCTCCTCCGTTAGGTTAGAATTGACAATCACGGGGAAAGACTCATCGGGACCAAGAAATGCATACCTCAAGACCAAAGGTAGAGGTTTCAAGTCTACCTTTGGTGCTCCCTTACCATTGGGGCTTTCTTCTCTTTCTTCAACTTGAAAAAGGTCATGAATGTAAGGAGTCTCTTCTTCCATGCTCGCATCCTTGCACTCCTTCTTTCTTTCCTCAAGTAATCCTCATAGAATTGTATGTCTTCTTTGTGAGTACCTATCTTTGATTCATTCAACAACACACTTTCGAGAGGATCATTAGTACCATGCAAGTGGGAGCGAGAAAATTCATTAAGCACGGTATCAAGAACATCTACTCTAAAGCATTCACCACTTGAGGAGGGTTGTTGCATGACATTATTCAAATCAAACTCAATGGAATCATTGTCAATTTTCAAGGATATCTTACCCTCCTTCACATCGATGATAGCTCTAGAAGTAGCTAGAAATGGTCTACCCAAAATTATAGGAATCCTCTCATCCTCATCCATCTCTAGCACATAGAAATCCACGGGGAATGTGAACTTTCCTACCCTAAGGGGAATGTCCTTAACCTTGCCCATAGGGAACTTAATGGAATGGTCCGCTAGTTGGAGAGTAATGTTAGTGGGGGAGAGGGTTCCTACACTAAGCTTTTGGTAGACGGAATAGGGCATGAGACTCACACTTGCTCCTAAATCACACAAGGCTTTATCAAATTCAATGTCATTGATAGAACAAGGGATGGAAAAGTTACCCGGATCTTTCAATTTGGTAGGAAGTTTGTTGGAAAGAATTACACTACAATTGGCGGTCAAACTCACCGTTTCACAGTCCCTTCTCCCACTCAAAAGATCTTTCAAGAATTTGGAATAGTGGGGCATTTTCTTTATCGCATCAACAAAAGGGACGGAAATATGCAAATTCTTAATGACTTCCAAAAACTTCCAAAATAGGGCATTAAGTTTAGCTCTCACAAATCGTTGTGGAAAGGGTAGCTTCTCCTCTCTAGGTTGGAGATTAAGGGGAAAGGGGGTGGCTTCTTTTTCCTTTGGCACCTCAACATTTTTTTCCTTTTCAACACTCAATGGCTCATTGGTTTTTTCACCCTCATTCTCTAACTCCACCTCTTCTTGGGGTTCTTCATCAACTAAAGGGTCACTCCCTACTACCTTCCCACTCCTAGTTGTCATGGCATACAAAGGTTTTGGGTTGGCTCCTTGACTTGGAATGTGAGAAGAAGAAGAAGAAGAAGAAGAAGAAGAAGAAGAAGATGAAGGGGATTAATTAGATGCAAGTTGAGCAATTTGGGTCTCAAGCATTTTCATGTGAGCATTGGTGCGTTTTTGGGCCTCTTCGTGTTTCTTTTGATCCTCCTCACGCATTTTCAATAGAGCATCTAATTTAGCCATCACGGGATCATTTGGAGGGGCTTCAAGTTGAAGAGGTTGTTGAGGTGGAGGAAGTTGGGGTTGATGGAAACCCGGAGGCCTATTAGTTTGGGCATAGTTAGAAACATATTGACCCCTATTGCCTCCGGTGCCTTGGTTAGGAACATTTCTTTGTTGATTATTTCCCATGTTACCTTGATCACCAAAATTTTGATTTTGATTGTCATGGTATCGGGAAATAGGTTGTTGGTTTTGATTACCATACCCCCTTTGGTTAGAGTAGCCTCTTCCATTGAAATTGGAAGGGCCTCCCCCACCATGGTATTGGTTATCATAACCACCACCACTTTGGTTCCAACCACGGTTTCCACCTTGATTCCAATTCCCCATTTGATTGGAGTTTGGCCTCAAGTTCCCTACATTTCCCATTCTAGGAGCAAAATTCATAGGATTGACATTTTCCATAGTATCATCATGTTCATGGGAAAGGGGTTGAACTTCACAAGCATATACACAATGGGAGGTATCATGATCATAGGTTTCACAATTAGAACAAAACATGCATCCTTGGGGCATTGTATTGTAAGAAGAGGAGGAAGTATCCATACCATTGCTTCCCTTGGTTGAAGGGGAGGTATTACCATGAGGATTGGACCTTTCTTTCATCAATTCATCCATTTTCTTGGTCATTTTGGAGATTTGGGTAGAGAGGTTGTTGATTACGTTGGCTTGCTCCAATGCATAAACACCCTTACTAGAAGTATCATCCCTTTCTCCTTCACACCAATCATCATAGTGCTTTGAGGCCTCCTCTATAATACACTCCACTTCATCCTCTCCTTTGTTCATGATTGGACCGCCGGCCGCGGCGTCTAAGCTTGTTCTTCCTTGAAGTGTGAGACCTCCATCGAAAGTGTGAATGAGTTGATACTTGGGTATCCTATGGTGTGGGAATTGACGTTGAAGCTCTTTGTATCATTCCCATGCCGCACTTAGAGACTCACCACTCTTTTGGCGAAAACCTTGAATCAAAGACCGAGCCTCGGCGGTCTTTTGATGGTTATAAAACCTCCTCAAGAAAGGCGTAGTCATTTGGTCCCATGTTGTGAGAGAATTAGGGGGCACCTCCTTCTCTAGACATTCTAGACCTCTCCCAATAAGTGAAAATGGAAACATCTTGAGGCGAATATATTCTTGAGTCACTCCATTGGCCTTTATTGTGTCACAATATTTCTCAAACTCTTTTAAGTGCTCATGAGGACTCTCAAACTTTCCACCCGAGAATTGTTTCCTCTCAATCAAAGCAATCAAATTAGGCTTGATCTCGAAATTGTTGGCTTGAATAGTAGGAGT